CCAAGATTATATATAAATATTGTGTTGTATATTGTTCTATGGGTTAAATGATAAGTCAAATACTAATGATTGTAACTTTTCTATTGTATGAAAGATAATGATAATTTTATAACATATTTATAGCTCACTGAGTAAGATTTAAGCCTTTTGAAAATTTTTAGATATTATCAAGGACAACGTAGTCATTCTGGTAAAAAAATATTGGTTATAATCTCTATAATTAGTTTACACAAATATGTTATTGCTACTTTTTGTATAAACAATTTATAATTACATTTATATGTTTATAATGTTAAAGATTTTAGTATATTATTTATATTTAACTATAATGAAATAATTATGGATTACAATTATAGTTTTAAATGTTATCTAACAAAATTAATCTTGTTGATTTTAAGTTCTAACCAGATTATTTATATATTAATAATAAGTTGCTACAACTACGCTACAATAAAATTACATTTATTTGACTGGAATCATAAACTAACAACTAATTTGGACCGGGTAATTAATATACAGTATATATCTTTACCAATGAATTAATATTTAAAATGTATACTAGGTATTTCTCATTGCTACACTGGTCATTGCTATAATATTAATCACATTAAATATAATTGGCCTGTTTGCAATTTATTGGGAAAATTTAAAAATAATTTACAACTATGCTATTTTGTCAATGTTTGGCACTTTTATTGCAATTTTCACTGCAATATTATATCGACCTAGCATAGTTTGTTTGATACTTGAAATGATAATCACTATTATAGCATTTTTATTTGTACGCGATTTATATAAAATTAAATACATTAATATTTCTTTAATATGAAAAGTTTTTAATAATAAATTATATGTTTTTAGTTAATACTATATAGTTTACTACAATTTATATTACTTTTATATTTTTAAATTTTTTGTTGCTAAAAATATTAAAATTCCTATACTGAAAATTTCTTAATAAAATTATTTATAATATTATTTAAAAGTAAAAACAATATCATTAATGTATTTATATTTATATAATTTTTAATCTACTAGTATATAATTTTAGTATAAATATAAAATACATAAATACAGTATTTGTCAATATGTTTGTGTTGATCAAAATTGCAAATGTTTTATCAGTATATTTATCAAGATCAGATAACTGATAAGTGGTCTAGCCAACAAATAGTTTTTTAATTTACATAAGTGTTGTAAACATAAAATCATTTATTTACGCAGTAATACATAAATATAACAAAAATATTTACAAATTAATATTAATAAAACTTGAAATGTTATAAAATGAATTACACATTAATTAAAAATTCAAGTCTTAAATAATTGTATAAGTATTTGTATAAACTAAAACATGGACATCCGCTATAGTTATGACTTTTACTTTAAGAAAATATTTTTGTTGACATTATGTGCGACCCAGATTATTTTTATAATTTTGATTTATAGTTACAATTATGTTATTCATGTGATTAACTGGGATGACACACCAGCTAATAAAAGGGACTGGATCAAATCAGATATTGATGTATGTAGTATCCAGTTATTAAATTAAAAGAATTATTAATATTTTCTAATTTATTTAACCTAGGTTTATTTTATTGCTTCATGTGTTATTTCACTAATAATTATTGTTGTAAACCTATTTGGTTCATATGGAATATACCGGGAACATTTGACAATAACTAATATCTACGCAATATTGACAATTTTTGGTACATTTATTGAGATTATAAATGCAATATTATATCGACCTAGTGTAATTTGTTTTATCATTGAAATAATTTTAATGATTGTATCATTTTCATTTGTTTGCGATTTATATGAAATTTATAATGTTCATTAACATTTATTGAGATTATAAATGCAATATTATATCGACCTAGTGTAATTTGTTTTATCATTGAAATAATTTTAATGATTGTATCATTTTCATTTGTTTGCGATTTATATGAAATTTATAATGTTCATTTTGTATTATAATAAAAAATAAATCTTTTGTAAAATATTAAATTTTATAATAAATTTTCATTTTATATGTTTTATATTTTTACAAATTAAATACATAATACTAATTAAATATTTTGTAGTTTAGTCATGTATTTATTTACTCACCTGGAACATCTATTTATGCAATTGAAATACAATTAATATGAAATGCTAGAAAATATATTATAATTACTAGAATTGTAAACTATTGAAAGTTTTTAAAATTATTAAGCATGGATATTAGACAAAATGTTAATTTTAAGTTTAAAAAGTGGGCACTATTTATTATCAGCTTGGTTGAAGTAATTTATATAACATTTATTGCTATACTGTATTTCATAGAAATTATTAACACTGATGACACAAACATATTGCAGCATGATGAATCAAAGGTATAAAAACAATACATTTAGTATAATATTTAAAAATAATCTAAATCTATATGTATTTTTTGTGTTTAAGTCCGATATGATTATCACTTTGGTAATTGTCATATTATCAGGCATATTTTGTTCAATGGGTATGTTTGGCGCATACCGTGAACATTATGGCTTAATCAATGCCTATGCAATATTATCGTGCCTGGTCACATTTGCCGAGTTTTTTAATTCAATTGTGGACTATAGTTCAATACCGGATTTCATCATGGACATAATTATAACTGCCCTTGCCTATTCATTTTCTTTGGATTTATATAATCTTAATGAACAAAGGGAAAATCCTAGAAATAGTGATACGGCTAATGTACCTGTACATTATAATAATAACCAAGCTAATGTAGAGGCTCAAGTAAACTACGTTGCTCAAAATGATGCTAACTATGTCTATTCAGCCAACAGAGAAATTGCAACTTGGCAACCCGCTTATCTTATTTGAAAACTTATGTAACAATTATTATTAAAATAAAAAATTAATAATTTTAAAAATTTTAGTTAATAATTATTTAAAATGACATTTTAGTATTTTAATAAAATACTTGCGTTTGTAAAATAAATTAATATACTATTTCAAAATAAAATAATTAATGTACGTCATGAATCAATTGTTCAATTATATTGTAGCTTAACGTGCAATATAGTAATTAGCAAGTTGTTTACTCAAAACTTATAATGATTACTAATCGTTGATTAGTTTATTTTGCAGCACATGTTGCCATTAAAAACTAATTAGCTTAATAATAGCTTCAATCATAAAAATATTTTTAAAAATCACAACTCATTATATAACTTACCTTGAAGTCTAATTAGTAGTAAGTAGGTTTGCAATCATAATGGATATCAGTCAGAGTAGTAGTTTTAAATGTAAGAAATGGACATTATTTGGCGTGAGCATATTTTCGGTGGTAGCCACCTTGCTCGTAACGGCTATTTATGTAATTCGAATAGACAGCGTAGACACTACTATCACTACTATCACTACTACCCAAACACCTTTTATTAGGAGTAATAGTGATAGTCATACGAATGAAACTCATTACAATTCTGTAAGTTATGTATTATATAACAATTAAAATGCAATAATCAATTCATTTATGTATATTAAAATTTATTCACCTAATTCATACGGTATTATACTAAATTAACTAATCCTAATTAATACCTTTAATATATTAATATTTTTAGGGCAATCTGGGGATCGGTATGATAATCACCCTGGGCCTAATCGGCAGTGCCCTGAACTCGATTGGCGCATTTGGCGCCTATAAGGAACACTATGGCCTAACCATGGCGTTTGCCATACTGGCCCTTTTGGGAACGTTAGGCAGTCTGGGGACTACCATAAGAAACGGCTCTAATGCTCCCGCATTCATACTAAACCTGGTGATCACTGTGCTGGCGTTTTCATTCGCTAATGATTTGAACAAGATTAAATTGCAGCAATTGCCTACGACAGTCATGCCCGGTCAATACCCGGCTGTAGTTACTATTGTGGGACCTCCCGGTGCTGTAACTCCCGCTCCTCCACCCGAGTATTCAGAGAAAGAAAAGAAAAATATTCCATAAATAATGTCTGTATTTGTATTGGAATTGTCAGAAAATACCTAGCTACCCTATTTTTGATTATGAATAAAATTCTAAATTTAATGCAATATTAAAAAAATTGTATTATTATTCAGTTAACTATAATAGATAAAATTATTTAGTTTAATTAAAGTTACAAATTAAATGTGACTATATTCTATAGTTTAACAGCTGTAATTAATGTAAATTAAAAATTTAAAATATAATATAATAATTTAATCAAAGTATTTTTATAATTTTAATAAAACGAAAGCAATGATATGTTTATTTATACTTTTATTTACAAGTAACCAGATGTTTTCTGTTTTAAAAAGATAATTACTACATTATTTTTTGAAATTGTATTATAATTTATTTACGTTAAACAAGGTGCTAATTTAGTTGATTATAGCACTAAATATAATTAGTTTTTAATTTTCATTTATTAAATTACATTTTAATTATCAAATTACATCTAGTTAATTTATGGAAAGTTCAAAGTTTTTGTTTTGTTTGAAAAAAGTTATTATACTTTTGTTTAATTTTGTTGAATTAACTTATATAATAACCGTGGTTAGTTTAACTATAAATGACAAAATTAAGCATGACAAATTTACAATCAATGATATAAAGGTAAAATATTATTTTTGTTATTTTTATATCTAATATATTATTTTAATTTTAGCACGATCTCACAGTAAAATGGATACTGATATTATTTAAATTGATACTGACTATAATAGCAATACATGGTGCTTTGAAAAATCATTTTGGACTTACAATCACCTATGCCATTTTATCTAATCTTGCCACATTTACAGCAAACATTCACCTGTATGATAAAGCTCGTATTTATCCATTGACACTATTTAATCGGGATACAGTTTATTTATTAAGTTTACTAATATGCACATGCATTACAATATTAGCATTTATGTTAGCTACTGACTTATTTGTGCGCAATCAAAAATGTATACAAAATGAGCATGATAAAAATAAGATTTCTGTGTTTACAATTGGTCATGAAGAATTTATTGAAAGTAAACCCATTGACACAATTAGTATTACTACTTTATAACGTATAACACGGTTATTATTAAACAATAAATTATTTTATTTATTTTATTCATTTAATTTTTATTTAGCATTATAAATATTTTTAAACTAACTCTACATTCAAGTTTAAATATTAAAATACAATGCAATCATAGTTACTATACAGGTATTAACAATGC